TTCAGATGCTAGCTACCACAAATACAACTATTCTGTTTCTTTTGCTGTTTATCTTTTGCTCGTTTGCACAGTAGAAGCTGTAGTTAATTGAATTTTTACTGTCCTCCGTGAATTGGAAAGAGTTACTCTAAAGAATTGGGCTGCTTTCCTGGAGACAATCCCATAGACGCAGGTGATTATAATTCAACATGGGACTAAAGTCAAGAGTTTTCTCTACCACTTTCCACTACATTTCTGGCCAAGACTATTCAGCAATTCTTTTTTTTCCTGAGAAACAGAGGAGGCAACTGGTATCAAAGCATCATTTCCCAAAGCGTATCCCATGACAAACCAGTGCCAAGATGCTCGATGGGAAAAGGAAAAAAGAGTTTTCTGGACAGATACATTTGGGAAACATTGCATGTTGCATGTGAAGATTTCCCAGTATACATGCATTCTATTAAAGGTCCTAGAAGTGCTGTAGTAAAAGAACCTTTTTCATAATATGGTATAGTGATTAAATACGTGGACTGTGGAATCAGGCAGTTGTGGGTGGAGTTCTGGCTGGGATTCACATGTGGCTATGGGACTTTGGGCAAGTTAATATGTCTGCATCTCAGTTTCCCCGCCTGTAAAATGGTTTAGGAACGGTACCTATTTCATAATGTTGTAATGAAGAGTATATGTATATAGCACATGAAGTAGTTAATTACTAGCTATTATCCCTTTAGTACAGGACTTCTTGGGCCTTTAGTGTAATCTAGGAAATAAAGTAAACCAATCAGCAGGCCAACAGGAACATTGTAGAATTCCCCACCCATCCCCCAAATGCTTTCAGGGGCTTGACAGTTACCTTACAAGGCAGAATGGCTGGGATGTCTAGCCAACTTCGTAGAGTTCTTAATGTTTTTTAAATTTCAGTTCACGTGAGAATGATATCAGTCTGTAGTACAAATCATATAGCTCATATTTACCAGGGAATTTTGACAACGCTAGACATGGTTTAACTGCCAGTAGCTCTGATGGCATGTTGGTCGTGACAAGAATGCACTCAGCTGGGAACCATGTATGAAACGCCCACCAAGCCCTGGTGGTACAGCTGTGGTCAGGATGTGTATCCTGCCCTTAGAATGTCCCAGGTCGACCAGAAGAGTCAAATGCCACGTGTGCAGTGCCAGTAAACCAAGGACATCAGGAGACTGAGTTTGTTGACTGAAGATTTGAAAATGTATTTCCATGGTGGTTATGCCTGGGCAAGCATGGAGCCTGTGTGTTGCTATTTCTTGGAGAGCCTAATGAGATGATTTGTCTTGTGTCAAGTTCTGTGATGGGTGGCCCTGAGCATTAGTGACCTGCCCAGAGGACTTGGTAGCTCACAACTGAACTGGAGGATGATTTTGTTCTCAGAGGACATTTGGCAATGTCTGCAGACATTCCTGACTGTCACGACTGAAGGGGCCTATTGACCTCTTGTGGGTAGAGGCCAGGGATGTGGCCACCCATTCTACAATGCCCAGGACAGCCCTACAACAAAGGACTATGGCCCCGAATGCTAACTGTGTGCCAAGGGTGAGAAAGCCTGTGCTAGTAACTTCCTTCCCTAAATTTTATCAGAAGCAACAATGACTATATATAGAAGCCTTGAGAGCTGTTTCCTCATGGAAATATACACTCGGGAGGATAAAATATAGACTTCTGAGGATAATGACGTGGACCGGATTATTCATTCTGCTGTTGTACACCTGTCTGCACCCCACAGGAGCCTGGCTGTGCTCTGTCTGTGCTGTTTGTTAGTCTGGGGGAAAGTGGTGAGGTCTAACTGGGTTTGGTTAAGTGAGTTCCCAGGGGATTCCCCAGCTCCTTTGCTCTCGGTGGCTGCTTCGTGCACTGCTCCCACTTTATTCTCCATGGAGCTGCAGGGAGAACTGCTTTATTGTATTCTCACCTGTTCAACAGGTTTTGTCTGAACAGCCTTTAAGAAATAAATACCAGTGATACGGGAAGAAAAGCACACTTGGCCTTTGATTCCTGGAAGACTGAGTGACCTTTTTCAGTGTAACTCTAGACTATTTTGTGGAGTGGTGGTGGTGGGGGGGTGCTCCAAATGCATTTTCAGTTTTATAATTTACCCTCTTGAACCTCAAGATTATGTGTTCTTCGTTTTGAATAGTGTTACCTGATAGCCACACCGAAGAGTGTGTGCTCATTTTAGAGCCTGTTTTCTTAATTCTTGCTCTAGGATGTGAAATTGGACCCTGAATTGAAGTGATGTGGTACAGATATAATATACTGGCCTTAGAATTCGCAAGTGAATCAAGTAATGTGCAGACTCTAAAGAAGAAGCCCCGGAACAGATTGCCTACTTGTATATTTGCCCGTTTAAGACGCCATAATTATTTCACAAGTCCCTGTTGAATATTCAGTTATTTTCAAGTTTGGGTAATTTCAACCAAAACAGCCATTGGCATTGTTACGGTTTAGTGAATAATCATGTCTTGAGGAAACACCCTAGAAAAGTAAAATTACTCAAAGAGAACACAAAATTTTAAGGCTTTGGGTGCAGTTTGCCACAGGTGCCTCTGGAAAGTACCGATTTATGCTCTGAGTAGATGTGCATGGCCACGAGGTTTCTTCTTTAGAAACCATCACCAAGAGATATGGTAGGTGTCTGTGGTGAACGCGCCTACCAAGTTATGACTCGGCTGCTATCAGAACTCATCACTGTTGTCCATACTTAACTTGGCTGTGGCCATTCACCTGTTTCAGGAACATACCAGACACACTGCTGTCTCAGGGCCTTTGCACTTGCTGTTCCCTTGGCCTGAGATGTGATTTCTCCAGATATCTGTCCACATGGCTCACCTCCTCACCTCCCCGGGGTCTGTCCTCAAACGCTGCCTTCTTGGTGAAGCTCCCCCTGAGGTCCCCACTTACAATTGCACTCCTGCCCTATCTCACAGATCGCCTCCCATACTTCAGATTCTCCTGCCTGCTCCGTGTCCCTTGATGCCACCCAGCGTCTGGAACCCCAGCATCGAGAACAGGCACAGAGTAGGGCTCAATCATTATTTGTTGAATGAGCGACTGAACCATTGCTCTCGCTGGTTAGCACTGATGCGTGGGCAACAGCAGGCTTCCCTAATCCTCCTTGGCCAGAGGAGCAGCAGTTTTGTTTGAATTCATTTCCTTTATTTGTCAGCCCTGGTGACGTTAGTTATTTATATAACCGCTGGTGTTGTTGAGGCTGCCACTGTTATCTCTTCTATCTCTGTCCCCTCAGTAATGTCCAACTGCTGCTGAGACCGTAACTGACGACGCTTACTCTGGTCTGATACAGGACCAAGTACACATGTTTGATTAGAATCTTCATACAGAGATCGATTTCTAAAAAAATAAACCTAAGAGCCCAGTAGGAAAGGGGCAAAGGATTTGGACAGTCCACAGAAAAGCGAACACGGGATTTTGCCCCTTTATGTTCAACTGCACTCTCAGTAAGAGAAATACACGTTAAAAGCACAGCGAGATATTTTATTTTCGATGTGTTGGTGTACAGAAGTTCAATCCCTTGGTAAGGCTGTGTGCCAATAGGCAGACTCACCCGCTACTAGAGGGGGTGTAGATTGGCACAGCTCCTGTGGAGGGATTTTGGAAATGACCATCAAAATTTAAAACTGCATATGCTCTTTGACCCAGCAATTTCACTTCCATGAATCTATTGTAAGGATGTACTTGCACGTGTGCAAAATGATGCATGCATAAAGCTATTCCCTGCGGCCTTGTATATAACAGCCAAAGGAAAGAAGCCACCCAGTGGTCCACGGCAGAGGACCAGTTCATCAGATAGGATACTTTCCTACAAAGAGCTACGTTGCAGCTGGAAAAGGAACAAGGACGCAATCTTTGTACCAATATGGAAAGATTTAGAATATACACAAAATGAAAACAAAAACAAACAGGGTATAGAATGCTGCCTTTTATGTAAAGGAAGGGGGAAATGTCATCTATTTTTGCATTTGCCTTATATACATGAAAAAATTCTGGAGGAATACAGAAGAAACTAACAGTGGATAGCTGGAGGGATGGGGTAGAAGTGGGCCACTTCGGGAGGAGGGAGCTTCTACACGGAATAGCTTTGCACGCGCGCGCGCGCGCACACACACACACACACACACACACGTGCACACAGGCACACGTGCACTCACGCACACGTGCATGCGCGCGCACACGCAGACACGCACACACACACACCTACATTTAAGTTTTGAATCCTGTGAATGTTTTACCTATTCAAAAATATTGTTACAGAAGTCATCCTAAAACGGGCTAGTCTAGGAGAGGCAGCAGAGGATAACTTCACTTCCTTTGTGTGAGCGGCACTGTTGGTTCAAATGAGAATTCAAGGTCTGTTCTGAATGCCGTGCTCTCTGCATCAGTCAGTTTTCTTTCCTGTGAAGGTGCATTGTGTGAACTGGCCTTGGGGAGGGAGGGTGTGTGTGTGTGTGCATGTGCATGTGTGTGAACCTTGGGGCATTTCTCCTTCCTCATGATATCCTGGTTGCTATAGTGCGGCGCTCTATTTATGACACGCAGAAAGCACTTTAAAGAAATACTGCTTCCTGACCATGGCTTCCTGGGCAATCTGCCTTCCGGAGACTGTTGAGAGTGAGGGGTTTACGTGCATTTCTGGACAGAGCGCGTCCAGCTCACTCAGACCCAGGGCACCATTTGGCGCAGAACCCGGGGTAAGGAGCGCCTGGCTTTCCCCTAAGAGCCAGGCAAGCCGTCTCTCACCAGGGCCATGTCTCCTGGTGGCTTTGACTCTTGGGCGTTGGACCTTCCCCTCAGTAGCCTTCTCTCCTCGGGGGCGGCCGGTGGTGCAGTTGGCGCTTTGTGTCTTCTGTGCCCAGAGCCGTTTCTTGTACCTAAACCACCAGTGAAAACAGGAAGTGATGCAGCAGAATTCGCCTTGCGTCGACACTGAGCGACTTTCTTTTCTTTTTCTTTTTGCCATTCCTCATTAGGGATAGACACGTGCAGCTGTCCACATTGCAGGACCTCAGTCCCACCGTCTCTGGATATTCTCAGGGTTGACAATGCCGCCGCCCGCGGACATCGTCAAGGTGGCCATAGAATGGCCAGGCGCCTACCCCAAACTCATGGAAATCGACCAGGTTAGTAATTAATGCTGGGAGCAGTTTTGGGGGTGGTTGTCAGTTTCATTTCTCTTCTGGAATGTTCACAGACTTTGGATAGCTCTTTTTTTTTTTGCCCCCCCTTTCTCTCTCTGGCTGTGTTGAAAAATCTGTGCAATAATAGTTGTAGTGTAGTTTGATTCCTGTACCACGTGCAGTGGCGATGGATGGGGTTTTTATATTCCTCCAGCATCTACTTGGTTTGTGTCAATACAGGGCTTGTGTCTGACGCTGCGAGGGAGGCGGGAGGGACAAGTGGACTGGGCTCTAGGCAGTTGACACAGTGGAGGCTGTCCCAGCCCTGCCTGGCAGGGACTGGTGAATATGTGCAGCCTGTTTTATCATAGGCGACACAAAACTTAATTTTCTGAACCACATTTCTCTTCAAAGTTTGCAGAAGCAGCCAAGTGTATTATATTAACAGCTTGATAATGAAAGTAGCGTAGAGGGGCTCAATCTTGGATCCCAGACAACTGCAATTTTATTATTACTATAAAATGCACTGTGTGTCTAGTCTATTATCTGGCATGTAATGAATACTCAGTAAATATTTAATAAATGATAAACTATCAAGACAATTTTTAAAATGGTTTTATCTATAAAAGCATCCTTTAGCGTAGATCTTGATGGTTTTACGGTGTAGCTTTCCTTTACTGTTTGATTATAAGTTATCTCAGAAAGGCTACTTTGGTCATTCTAGAGCATATGATTTAAAGAAAAAAAGGGTTGAGGCTTAATGTACACTTAAGTTAGGGTACCATGGCAACTCCACTTTTTAAAAATGTTTTTGATACTATGTTATGATTATGATCTATACTGATTTTTTTTTTCCTGGTTAGATTTTCTTATCTGGTTGAAGACCATAGTAAGAGTTGTATGCAAAGGATTCATTAAAATAAATTATAAAGACCAAGTTAGGATTAGTTGAACCTTGGGCGTGAATTTGAATTCAAGACAGGGTAAATGTTTAGGACTGTTGTCAAAAGTGGTGCCATCAGACCAGCTCATCATTGTTATTTTAACTGCTCTCTAAGGTAGTCAGTCATTCTATGACTCTAGAGGAAACCCACGCAGGAAGACAAGCCCGCCCAGTAGTTTTACATACCTTTGTGTCGGGCAACAGATGTTTATCCTTTTTCACGTGCTGTTTGTGAGAGAATATGAGTTGAATTTTACTTTCAAATATGCCTGGGACTACTTGATGAGACTAAAAGCAGTTAGGGTTAGGTTTGGCTGCATCCTAAGAGAACAACGCTTCAGGGAGATGGAGGCTGGCCTCTCACATCCACGTGGCAGGCTGTGCTGGCGCGATGCCGCAGTGCCGTGGACCCAGGTCCCTCTGTCTTGTTACTCTCCCTTCTCCACATGTGGGGCTTAGGACCAGCTTGGGCCCCACCTGGGGGCTCATTAGAAATGCAGGGTCTCAGACCCCACCCTAGACCTTCGGACCCAGAATCTGTATTTTCCTGCAAAATCCCCAGGGAATTCCTATGTGTAGTTAATTCTGGGAAGTGCTGAGCTGGTACTTGGTGCCCAAGTCTGAGTCCTCATCAGAACCACCTGGGGCCCAATTCCCAGAAACATGAAGCCAGTGGTTCAGGTAAACTGTTTCCCTTTGATTCTGCCATGGCCTGGAGTGTTTGGGACCCTCTGCTTGAAGACAGCAGCTCCTGGTATACACCCTTAGGGGCCTGTGGAGTCCGTGTCCTGTTCCTGCCTTTGGAGATGGCCTTTGCTGTGTGTGTAGTAATACTTTTAAAAAATATATATATTTTAAAATTTTGGAACAATTTTAGATTAAAGGAAAATTGCCAAGATAGTAGAGAATTTCCATTTGCCCTTCACTCAGAGTCCCCTAATGCTAACACCGTAATTTAACAGTGGCACGTTTGCTAAACTAAATTAACAATGATGCATAGTTAGTCCAAAACTACAGACTTTATTTGGATTTCACAAGGTTCCCCACTAATGCCTGTTTTCTGTTCCAGCAGCCAATCCAGGAATACCAGCCACACTGTAGTATAGACATCATGTTTCCTCAGACTCCTCCAGGCTTTGGCAGCCTCTCAATCTTTCTTTTTTTCATGGACTGATAGTTTTGAAAAAAAACTTTATTTCGATACAGTTTCTAACACAAAGCAGTGGCAAGAATAGTACACAGAACTCCTGTCTGTCTTTTATCTAGATTTACTGATTATTAATATTTTACTTCTTTTACTTTATTGTTTTCTCTATTTCTCTGCAATGTGTGTGTGTATGTATGTATGTATGTGTGTGTGTGTGTGTGTGTATATATATATATATATATATATATATATATATCCTTTTTTCTGAACCATTTACAATTTCATACTTTTTCTGAACCATTTACAATTTCATACCCTCCTTTTGAGGGTAGTTTAGAGTCGTCATCCCTCTTTACTTCTAAACATTCAGTCTGCCTTTCCTAAGAATACAATTGTTCTTACATAACCACAACCTCTTTATGAAAACCAGGAAACTGAACATTAATTTAACGCTATCATCTAACTTCCAAGTCCAAGTCTATAGCCCATATTCAGTTTTCCTCAGTTGTCCCAATAAGGCCTTTTATAGGGATTTGCCCGGAGTCCAATGGCCCTCCAGGATCATGTATTCCATTCACTGATGCCTCTCAGGTCTGCATTGTTCTGGAATGGTTCCTCAGGCTTTCTTTATCTTTTGTGGCCTTGATGGGTTTCCTAGAGTACAGGAAGCTATTTTGTGGAATGTCCTTCAGTTTGGGTTTCTCTGATATTTTCTCTTCATTAGATCCAGGATTTGCATTTTGGGCAGAAACGCCAGAGAGGTGATGCTGTGTTCTTCTCTGGGGATCCTATCAGGAGGCACATATGTTGCCTGGTCTCATTCTTGGTGGGGATTCTGGTGTCGCAAATGCAGATACTGAGTTTCATAGAAATTTGGTGATTTGCTAGTTAGTGAGACCGGGACACAAACCCAGGCCTCCCTTACCCTGAAGACTGAACTTTTCAACAGTTGGCTGAATTGTAGGCCTCCTGCTAACACCCTATGGGGACCCACATGAAGAGTTGGAACTCTGGTCCTTTACTGTCCTGCAGCTGCTGATGTTGGAACGAAACTCCTGGCAAGGCTGGTGGCAGGTGCTGTGTCTCGCCCGGGTCAGAAATGGGCACAAGATGTGGAAATGTATTCGCACATGCAGTGAAGATTTGAACAATGATGATTACTTGAGCTTTCTCCTAATTTTCTACCTTGTTCAATTAAGGTCACGTAGCCTGCTTCTGTCCTACTGCATGTTACCTTTGTTTAGAAAGCTCTTTACTCCTTTTCTACCTGGATAGCGACTATTTCACTGAAAGGTGTTGCTGGAAGTTGGGTTAAGCGTTGTTGCCTTATGTTCCCCTGAAACCTGGAGTATTCCTCCACTTATACGTTGTGTTGTCACTTGCCATTGAGTCTATCAACTTAAACAGGGGGGGTCCTCAACCTTGAGTAGGCCCGAGAATCATCCAGGACCTTGTGGAAAATGCACGAACCCAGCCCAGCTGCAGTGGTTTTGATTCTGTTGGAGGGGGTGTGGCCCTGAACCTGGTTTGTGATGAGCAGCCGGGCAGTCCAATGCAGGGCTCCCCGCGTCACGTGAGACCAGGCGGGAACCTGCAAGCTGCTCTGTCTTCAGTGCTGCTTTTCTGGTGAACGGCCCTTACTTCCCAAATGGACATTTAGTTAATGAGTAACGGGGCGAGAGCTTTCTGAATGGGGATCAGTTCCGCCAGCAGGGCCCGGTGGAGTTAAGGGATGCGTGCTGGCTTTACCTTCTTTCTAAAATGGAAGGAGACAATTCTGTTTCCACTCCGTGGGAAAAGCCCCCAGGAGCTTCTCACAAGTGGAGTTTCCGATATCCCATGAAGCTGTCGAAAGAGTTGTCAGCTCGTGTGTTTGTTCACAGCTCCTGCTCCGGCCTTTACTGTATCCTTGGGTGTCACCCTCGGGCGTCACTTGAGACTGTGGGTGGTGGTTGTCTGGACCTACTGAACCTACAGGGCTTCCCATCCACTTGTTCACTTGCTACTGATTGAACAGCGTATTTCTCAGTCAAGAGCGTACAACCCCGGACACTTTGATAAGCATCGGCTGCCGGGAAGTGTGGCCAGCCCGACACAGTGCAGACTCCGGGACTTGTAGACCTGGGAGCGAGCCCTGGAGCCCCGTGCTCTGGAGAGGCCAGCGAGCCTCTTGGAGCCTCGGTGTCTTTGTCTCGTGAAGTCTAGAGGATAATGTGCCACTTTTATGAATGTTATGAAGATTAAAGAAAGTCTATGAAAAGAATGTAGAACACTGCTTGGCTCAGAGTAAACACTCCGTCCAGGCAGCCGCCGTGGCTGCTGGTGTAAGCGAGTTCTCACTGGATGTAAAATGACAGGCTCTGGTTTCCCTGTCCACCTGCCCTTCCATCGTGAAGCGTCCCTCCTTTCTTCTTCTTGCTCTGCCTACCTTTTTAGATGTTTAGGAAGGCGAGGAAATGAAAGGGCAAGTGGGATAGAGACATCACCTGGGAATGACGGGACTTACGAACTGGACTTGCAGCCAGTTCCTGCCGTGGAAGATTCATTGGCTCCCTGGTGCTGCGCCGCGATATTTTCTTCCACCTTTTGGCCACTCGCTGACATTTCTGGGCAACAGCTCTTTTGTTCCCTGCACATGCTCGCCAAGCCTCTGGTTTCTTCTGCCCCTGCTCTATCCTCACACACCTTTCTTTTCTAAGAGTATACCGAGGACGGAGGGTCAGCACATTCTCTGTGCCGCAGAATGTCTCTGCTTATGCATTTGCACACTTCCACAGACCTCTTGATGCCTCTGCCTCCTGCCGTCCTGCCTGCCTCTTCCACAGCCCGCAAAGGAGGGGAGAAGTGGCCCATTGCTCTTCCCAGGCATTCAGCCTGTCCCAACCCCCATCTCTTTCTCTGCACCTGTGTTTT